CGCTGTATCTGTATGGATGATATTGATCAGTATACACTGTATCTTTATGGATGATATTGATCAGTATACACTGTATTTATGGATCATTATGGATTTAGGGGATCCACTGACCATGATCTTGAGTCTGTGTTCTGGTCTGACCCCCCTCTCTGTCCCTGCAGACTCCTTCAGTCAGCAGCTGGTGGTCCCCCCTCAGCACCAGGACCAGGAGGACCCAGAGCCATCACGCGTCAGAGAGGAACCGGAGCGAGAGCCGCTTCTAGACCTGGACGAGGCAGACATCATCCAGTTCACCTACAGCACCAAGCCTGGACCCAGACTGGGTCAGGATGTGGACCGGCTGTCTGCTCTCGGAGAAGAACCGGATCCAGAGCCGGAGATCCAGCTGGTGTCGTCTGAGACAGAGGACAGCAACGACTACAGCAAAGAGTCCGACACCAGAACCGCTTCGAGCCGGTCTAAAGCAAAGCGGGGCCGCAGACCAGGAGGACCACTGAGCTGCAGAGTCTGCAACCAGACCTTCAGGGCCCGCCGGGCTCTGTTCAGGCACATCAGGGCCCACCTGCAGGAGGCGGTCTGCGGGGTGTGTGGGGACCACTTCGAGGCTGCTGAGAGTCTCAAGATCCACATCCAGACTCACCGGACCCCTCAGAGGAAGAGGGGGGAGCCGGAGGTCCAGATTGGGACCCGGAGCGCAGAGAGGCGGTCTCACCGACCCAACACAAAGACAAGCCCGGAACTACACACCTGTGGCGAGTGCGGGAAGAGGTTCCTGCAGGTCTGGAGGAAGAGGAGGCACCGGTGCCATCCCCCAAGACCGGACCAGGAGGGTCCGCAGGGGACTGCACACAGGACCAGAACTTAAAGGAGTCCGGTTTCTGTACTTCAGTTTATTTTCTTTAAAAATCTTATTTTTATTGAAACCTCAGAATGAAGTCAGAACATTAACAGAAAATAAGAAACATAATAATTGTTAGTAGTATTATTAATAAATAATAATAATAGGTTTCAGTTTTGAGAATAAAGGTTGAATATTCTGAGAACTAAAATGTTTTGAAAGAAAAATATTATTTATTCTTTTTATTGTCAGATTTGTTTTTGTTTTTAATATTTGGAGAAAAACAATATTTCAATAGAAAGTTTTCACATTTTTGAGAATAAAGTTGATGCATCAAATCTGAATTAAAAGTATTTTTGATAAAAACTAATTTTCTTCAAATTTAAACTTTATTCTCAAAATATTTTTATTTTGTTTTCAGATTTCTGACAATAAAGTTGTAATATTTGTAGAAAAACACATTTTATATTTCGAGATATTTTATTTTTGAGATTTTTGTAACTTAAAGAAATTTTAAGTACTTTGATACTTTCAGTGTATCAACAGGTACAAAACTGTTTCTCCTCTTCACCTGTTGCTGTCTGTTTCCATGGTAACGTCTTCATTGGTTCGGTTTCTCTCAGTGGCAATGTTGTAATATTGTGTTTATTGATTATTGATTCTGATAATCAGCTGTCGCATTCCAATAAAGACATTTTCTGTCAGTCTGTGTTTGATAAAGTGAAAGCGGCTGCAGTACGGTGGCGGCCAGCGGAGGGCGCTCCGCAGGGACACACCCACAACACCTGTTCAAGTACAGGTTATTTAACATCTGGGTGCTTACTTAATAATAATAATAATGATAATAATAATACAGTGAAAACGTGTTTTATTCTCATTTTAATCCTGATATAAAGTCCAACAGGAACCACTGAAGCACAACAGTTTCCTCTCAAACAGGAAAGAAAAGATCAATCAGGTCTGATCAGTAATTGGTAATTGATCAGTAATTAATCTATAATGGAAGCTCAGTTCCACCAACGAGACAATAATGAGAAACTATATATATATATATATATATATATATATAATATTAACTGAATATCACTCGTACCGTCGCTGTTAAAGGGCCAGTGTGTACGTTCAGTGACTGAAACAAACTGAATACAGCTCGGTCAAAGGTCTCAATCTACAGTCAGTGTTTGAGTTTGTCCGTTCTGGGCTACTGTAGAAACATGGCGGCCAGAAGTGGACCCGCTTCCTCTGTAGGTGTCATTATGACTATTACAGTGACCTTTAACCTGTGAACCTGTCTTTGAGGAGGGAGTTTTGTTCCTGCTTGGATTCAGACGGACAGCAAAACAAAACATACGTTGCTATGGTGACATAATTAAACACATTGTCAGTTCAGTTTATTTGTTCACCAAATCACACTAGTCCGCGGCGGTCTCTCGCCCTCAGTGGTTCTAGTCCGCGGCGGTCTCTCGCCCTCAGT